AGAGGAGACAAAATTTTAAGGTTGAAAAAGGTGTTATAAAATCTTAAGCAGGCTCCGCGAGCATGATACGTATTTCATTCAACAAGGGTTCAGAAGGAGTCTGAATGAGGCTACTTTGTGCATAAAGTCAGAATGATCAAATATCATTATCTCTCACTTTATGTGGATGATCTTATTATTATGGGAAACAATTCATCTATGATAAAAGTATTCAAGCAAGATATGATGAAGTAGTTTAAGATGGCTGATCTTGGCATGATGAATTACTTTCTTGGCATGGAAATCAATCAAACAGATGAAGGGATCTTCATATGTCAGAAGAAATATGCCAACAATATCTTAAAAAAGTTTAAAATGGAAAATTGCAAGCCTATTTCAATACCCTTGGCTCAAAATGATAGATTTAATAAGGAAAATGACTCTGGAGAAGCTGATACAAAACAATATAGAAGTATAATTGGTAACTTAATGTACCTAACAGCCATAAGATCAGACATGATGTATGCTGTAAGTATGTTATCCATATTTATGCAGAAGCAAACCCAAGTACATATGCTAGCAGTTAAAAGAGTTTTTCGCTATCTAAGAGGAACTTCAGACTATGGAATTAGGTACAATCCTATTGAAAACTCAGAGTTGATTGGATATTCAGACAATGACTAGGTTGGATCTTTGGATGATATGGAAAGTACTTCAGGTTATGTATTCTCGCGTGGAAATGGTGTGTTATGTATTTTATTGGCTCTCAAAAACAAGATATTATGACTCAACCATCAGCCGAAGCTGAGTATATAGCAGTATGTGCCGCTGCAAATCAAACAATTTGGCTAAGAAGAATTTTGTCTGAAATGGGTGCAATTCAAAAACAATCCATCAAGATATTTTGTGATAGTAAGTCAGCAATATCTGTTAAAAGACTCAAGTTCAGTATAGAAAGACTAAACATATTAAAGTTAAATATTATTTTATTCGAGAAGCTGAAAATGAAAGAAAAATCAGTTTAGTCCATTGCAGCTCAGAACAGTTAGCCGATATATTCACTAAAGCACTTCCAAAAGTGAAGTTTGATTTCCTCGGAGATAAACTTTGTATATAGAGGAATTTCTTCAAGGAGTGTTAGAAAATAAAGAAATTTCTCATCCATTCTTTCATAATTACTATTAAAATAGATGTTATTTATGAACATAGAAAATTGTTTATGGTTGTAATTTATTCTTTACATGTATAAATAGTTTTGTTTGTAATTCATTAAATATAATAAAAATTCATATTACATAAAACACATTTCATTCTTCCTCTTTTCTTTCTTACTTTTAGTATTATTTGCACAATTAACTCCAATATTACCAACAATGCTCAAGGGGAGGGTATTATCAAGAAACCGCCAAAGTCTCTGGCGGTTTACTACAGAAGAAAGGGCAAAAAGGGGAATTTGTACACAGGGGCAGAAAAGTCTTTTCCCCACGTAACAGAATAGGGTTTGGGTTTGTTGTAACAGAGAAACCGACTGAAAGTGACCTCTACCCGTCGGCTGTTCGGCCGTTGCAACCTCCAGTTAGTTCCTGCTCCCCTCTCCCGCTCATTCTCTCTGCCACTTGTAGCCTATAAATAAGCATTTTCTCTATAAGTGAAATCACAACGAAGGATATTTTACCTCAAGCAATAGTTCTTTTTTTCTCTGTTTTTTTCTTTCTCTATGTTGCAGATCTGAAGCCATGAATAAGTCTTCTGACAATATGTCCTCTGGTTTGTTAGTTTATGGTGATGTTTTCTCAATTCCTGATAATTGTTGCTCCAAGAAGATTTCTTTTCTACTGCTCAAAATCGTTTTTTCTTTTTGGTTTCAGGGGAAGCACTAACTGCATTAAAGAATTCTCTACATGCTTCGGGCAGTCAACTGTCCGACTGGAATCCAAATCAAGTTAATCCATGCACTTGGTCGAATGTCATCTGTGATCCCAGTTACAATGTCATTTCAGTGTAGGCCCTGCTTTGTTTGTTTCTTAGGCTCATCTTTGTTACCTTAAGTACTCTTATAGTTTATATGTTTTTGTAGAACATTGTCGTCCATGAACTTTTCTGGAACCTTGTCACCTAAAATCGGAATTCTGAAGACACTCACAACACTGTAAGTAGAAGTATATTTGAGCAACTTCTATATGCTTTTAAAATATGTTATCCTATATACTTGGTATGTTGGTTTTCCTGAGGCCAATGTTTCTTTGTTTCTGAAGTGAATACAACTATATATTTGATTTGATTGGTTTTCCTGAAGCCATTTCTAATGGCTCCCAAAGGCTAAAAGGAAATTTAAGTACTCTGTAATGTTGCTATGAAATCTTCACTATGTTATCGTAATATATTGTTTTCTTTTGCGTTTATAGACTTTATAGTCTTTACTTGCCCACCTATACTCCTATCCTCCATGATGAAAGTTTCTCATCCTTTTTCTTGGGGTTTGAAAATCGATGCCTCAGCTCACTTGAACAGCAAATGGCCCATAATTGGAATTTTCTGAAAAAAGAAAAAACAAAAAGAACCCAAGCAACTTAACATCTCTAACTATAGACTTTGTGTATAGAGTTCTGCTAAATGGATCCTAAATTTTTTAATAACAGATGTATTTATTAGTTTGTAATATTTTGCTGCAATATTTGGAGTATATTCTTCTGTTCTTCAGGTGATGCCAGTAAGATGGTTATTTGTCATTCCTAATATAGAAATCATTTTCTTCTGCAGCACATTGAAAGGCAATGGTATTACTGGTGAGATACCCCCAGAATTTGGAAATTTGACTGCTTTAACCAGTTTGGATTTAGAAAATAATCGTTTAAGTGGTGAAATACCATTTGCCCTTGGTAATCTCCAAAAGCTTCAATTCTTGTAAGTAATACAGTCTCTATGGTTTCTAAATTTTATTTTATTTTTAAATAACAGACTTTATCTGGAAAGAAATGTGACCTTTTCCTTACCTTTATCCAAGCAGGACTTTGAGTCAGAACAATCTTAGTGGGACCATTCCTGAATCACTTTCGAAACTTCCAAACTTGATCAATCTGTAAGTGATTATTCTCTTAGTGATCCCTTGAAGTCAACAGCTTTTAACACTAACAACTTATATGGTGCTTCTTCCCTCTGTTTTACATCTTTTAAAATTTTAAATGACAGTTAAACTTTCTTTGCAGCCAGCTTGATTCAAATGGTCTCAGTGGTGAGATTCCTGAGCATTTATTCCAAATTCCAAAATACAAGTAGGAACCTTCTTAATATTATTTTTCACTTGTGGAAGTTATCATAATAATAGACTGAATTATTTGATTGAACTAATGTGGGCAATGCTCATTTCAGTCTTACCGGAAACAAACTGAACTGTGGTAGAAGTTCTAGTCATCGTTGTGAATCTGAGGGTAATGATTCAGGTATTTGACTAGTTACAGTTGATATTTCTATCCAGATGCAACCGTCTAGAATGTCTTTGAAAAACTAAAATTATTAATGATTTCCTTCTCTGGTAGGTGATTCACAGAAGCCTAAGATTGGAACTATAGTTGGCATTGTGGGAGGGCTTGCAATTCTTTTTTTTGGAGGCTTGTTATTTTTTCTCTGCAAGAGTAGACATAAAGGCTACAAACGTGAAGTATTTGTAGATGTTGCAGGTTGAGCAACCTTTTACTTGGCTTTCTTACAGAAAAGTATTCTACTAAGATAATCATATGATCCAAGTTCATCAGTGCTATCATCAATACATGCCTGAAATTCTTAAAATTGCAATACATGTCAACTAATAGATTGACAGATTAAATTTTATCAACATTCAAAACTTGTGGTATCTTGAAAATTGTAATGATACAACTATAATATGTAGTGAATTTTTTTTATTATCTATTTTTAAATGTACTATTATGGATCTACCTATAGATATAATGCTATGGATCTACAGTTATTTATATTGATATATCAATAACATGGCTTGAGAGCCAATTTATTTATTCCACCTCATAAAGGGAGACATTTTGATGGTCAGTTCAATTATTTCTCCAATGAGTGTGGATTTGAAATAATCCAATTTTTGTTTATGGCTTATGAGATAGTGTCTTCATATCCAGGTGAGGTTGACCGAAGAATTGCATTTGGTCAGTTGAAAAGATTTGCATGGAGGGAACTACAACTGGCTACAGATAACTTCAGCGAAAAGAATGTTCTTGGACAGGGAGGATTTGGAAAGGTCTATAAAGGAGTGCTTTCTGATAACACGAAAGTTGCTGTAAAGCGATTAACTGATTTTGAAAGTCCTGGTGGAGATGCTGCTTTTCAACGCGAAGTTGAGATGATAAGTGTAGCTGTTCATAAGAACTTATTACGGTTGATTGGCTTTTGTACAACACCAACCGAACGCCTTTTGGTGTATCCTTTTATGCAGAATCTAAGTGTGGCATATCGTCTACGAGGTACTTCTTTAGCCATACATATAAATAAAAGCTGCTAATAGATTACTAAATTCTTCGGAATCATATATGTATTTTTGCATTCCTGGGCATTAAAATGCGTTTCTTTTTCTTGCCTCCCTTTTGTGATACAGTACTAGATATTTTGTTTGAGAATATTTGATCCATTGAACAAATGGAATGCAGCCATACGCACAACTTATAGAAACACATGCAGGCGAATATTTTCTTAGAAACCCTGGTTATAATTTTAATTATTGCAAGATAGATGCATTGGAAATGCAGTTGAAGAGGAAAAAATCTTCGTGTAATTGTTGCCAAGTCTTAAGAGTAGTCACTGAGCAGCCGAGCCTCTGAACATCCAATAGAGCCCACTCTAATACATGATGCATTTTGCATCTTGGAAGAGAGATTAATTTATACCTCCCTAATGGATTATGTTCATTTCCCTAATGCTTAATTGTTAGTTTTATCTGCATTTCACTTTTGTGATTACTCTCATCTGTAAATAACTAATACCATTCTATATAGTTATAGCTACAGCATAATTTTTGGTGCTCAGTAAGTTTATGGAAGCCTTCTGATGATCTTTGCCTACCCCTGATTGATGTTGCAGAAATTAAACCTGGTGAACCAGTTTTAGATTGGCCTACAAGGAAGCGAGTAGCCTTAGGTGCAGCACGTGGCCTAGAATATCTTCACGAACATTGCAATCCTAAGATTATACATCGAGACGTAAAGGCTGCTAATGTTTTATTGGATGAAGATTTTGAAGCTGTTGTTGGTGACTTTGGCCTGGCAAAATTGGTGGATGTCAGGAAGACTAATGTCACAACGCAGGTTCGTGGAACAATGGGCCACATAGCCCCTGAATATTTGTCCACTGGGAAGTCGTCTGAGAGAACAGATGTTTTTGGTTATGGAATTATGCTTCTTGAGCTTGTAACAGGTCAGCGTGCAATTGATTTTTCACGTTTGGAAGAAGAAGATGATGTGCTATTGCTTGACCACGTAAGATGACTAAGCAACATTACTATTTTGTTTCTTAGTTGTGCATTTTTCTCTTCCTCCTGCCTTCCATAGGTCCATCTAAGTCAAACATTTAAGTGAATACGATGCATATGATGGCGGCTGTTTCTAAGTATTAAATTAACTGATACCGCTGAATCATAGGATATCAAGGGGGTCCTCATCAAATTCAAATCCTTGACTATTTTATTTCAAACAATAAAAAATTGGTCAGATTACAATTCATCTCTGTTGTCTGGATTTATTTGCAATTGAATGGCTATGTTTATTTTTCTGTAACAATTCAGTCCATGAGGATTGTTTTTTTTTTTTTTTTCTGTCATTTTACAAAAAACCATTGGTTTTTAAGCTATTAAACTTCTATTTTTTTTTTTCTTTTCGTTTTTAAGGTATTAACTTTCATGTATTCGCGTTTGGAAGTCCAAGCATTATGTAACATGACAAATCCAAGCCACATGTATTAAATTGTCATGAAAAGACTCACATAATTTATATTGCAATAAGACCAAATTACAGATTGGTTGGTATTGTACTTTTCACTAAAAATACTTAGAACTTCGTTTCACCTGCAGCGAACATGAATTGGATGCCTTAGTGGTTTGTTACTTTTGCATAATTTTCCTTTGTTTCCTTTTTAATGATTTGTTTATTTTGTATTTATTTTGTTGTACAGGTCAAGAAACTTGAAAGAGAAAAAAGACTAGATGCAATTGTGGATAAAAATCTTAATAGAAACTACAACATCCAAGAAGTGGAGACAATGATACAAGTTGCGTTGCTTTGCACGCAAGCATCTCCTGAGGATCGTCCCGCAATGTCAGAGGTGGTACGGATGCTTGAAGGTGAGGGCCTGGCTGAGAGGTGGGAAGAATGGCAGCATGTTGAAGTTACTCGTAGACAAGAGTATGAGAGGTTACAGAGAAGATTCGACTGGGGAGAAGACTCGGTATATAACCAGGATGCAATCGAATTATCTGGTGGAAGATGAGGTAACATCCTCCTAATACATGAAACCACAAGATTCTCTATTGCCTGTTGTAAGTTTAGCTCCATATTTCAGCGAGCTCAAAAATTTAAAGACGAATTTCTTGTGGAATCATTGAAGGGTAAAAATTGCCTTTGCCTTTTCATATATAATACTTTTGGGAAAAGTTTTCTTTTTGGCATTTCTTGTAGCTTTATTTTCTTTTTCTTGGGGTGTATGCATTCTGGCATCGGTTTCTTTAGGATTCTTTTTATTTCGTTAAGAGGAAAACCTCAGATCTTACGGGATTGTGGAGCCAGGCTGCTGATCTGCTCCTCAGTATGAGAAGAAGAAAGCGGAGAAACCTGGCGTCGTTATTATTAGAACCAGCAGTTTTGTAGGTGAGAGTAATTTTGATGTCTGATATGTCCTTCACTCAGGTTGCCTAATTTGCCCACTAGGGTTTGTGTGGAATTGGAATGACCTTATAAGTACATAAAGTTTGTAAGTTTTTTAAAAATGCAGAGAGTGATTGAGATTTGCTTATTGCTTTTTCCAATCAGGAAGGCAACGACAAAAAAAAAAAAAAAAAAGTGCTTATTTAACTTATTAATGCATAAAAAATAAAGTATTTATTGGTTTTTTAATAGTAATTTCCAGAAGGTAGAAAATGGTTGGTAATTTCTAAATTCTTACTTTTTTTCTTTTTTGTTCTGATTAATTTATTTAATTACTTTTTAATAATAATGATATATGTTAAAATAAGATAAGCTATAGAATATTTGTAACAAGTGTATATATATTTTTTTAAATTTTTTAAATAAATGCTTTTTTTAGAATTAACATTTTGTTGTAAAGTAGTTATTTAAATAAGAATTATGTGTTCTTAAGGTCCATAAAATATTTTAATAATTTAAATAATATCTTATGAAAACTCAGAACACTCTCTTAGAGAATTAGTACAGAGCTTGTAAGTGTCGTGAATTATAACTGCCTTTGGTCACACCTATTTTATTTTATTTTTAATTTCATAGATGAGTTATTTGATATATAAAGTTCAATTATATTTTCAAATTATTGACAAAACAATTGAAAAATTACAATTACAAATATTTAATATGAATTAACTGCGGATCACCCAATCACCATATCAGTAAATATATATATATATATATATATATATAATTATGTGAATAGTTGGAAATTTGTGCACAAAGGAGGAGGGTAAATGGGTTAAGACAAGAACATTATTGACTCATCAATAGTTTTTAATCCCACTCCAAGTTTCAACCCGCTCGAGTTTAAACGAGTTACTCAGTTTTTAGGTTTCTCTATTAAAAGAGTATTATGCAACTAATCGTATTTGTTACCATCATTGCGAGTTTTATACGATTGTTTAAAATATTAAGGTAAGATTTGAATCTTATTTTTGCAGGTTAACTTAAAACGGTTGAATTTACAAAATTATTTTAGAATATGATTTTTATTTGATGAAAATTACGAATATTTTATTGAGAAATAATGGGTCGTGTAATTCGGATTGAAGGCACGTGTGTGTAAAAGTGTGTATATATCGATATATTAGGGTTTGTACAGGTATGTATTGATTGATTGTGTGTGTGTGTGTGTGTGTGTTGCGTGTGCATAATATTTTTTGTGGCTGAATAAGTATTTCCCTATGACTTTTGAATTCTTTGAAATCATTTAATACAAAAGAATTTTATTACGATTTCTCTTAGTCGATCTCAGTTTGTCTTCAAACCCTCTGATAACATTATATGTGCACTGATATTAGAAGGAAAAAAAAGAAAAAACATGAATTATTATTTAATAGTTAATTGAAAATTTGAAACTCATGTATACACAGAGACAAGAGTATCACGATTCATGAGTGTATAAATGAAGTGTGCTTCGCTAGCAGAAAAGTCCAGAGGACTAAGAGCTGGTGAACAAGTATACCTACCAACACAATGAACGCAAAAATTAAGCCACGTGATAAATAAGCCAATTTGGTCTTACCTATCATATTTAATTACTACTACTCTACCCGTTATTATTTCATGATTACCTTTTATTTTTTCTTTAATTAATTGTTTAATCACGAATTTCATTTGTCTCTTTTTTTTTTTTTTTTTTTTCTTCCCCCCCCCCAATATTTTAGGGTTACATATATGTATGTATGTATGTGTGTATGAACATATTTCAAAATCAACGTATATAAGATGTTAAATCCGAACGGCTTTGCTTGCATGATAATCAACAAAAGGGAGAAATTCTTATTAATTATTACTAGATGTAAGTACAAATTAAATAAGACTTTACCCGAAATATCCAATTGATTATTAATTGTTCATTATGTAAGCCCGGGTTATAAGAAATTAAATAGGCTTAATGACTTTTTTTGGGCTTAACAGTTTATGTTGTGGTAGAATAATCAATTTAATTTGGTGTTATTATGTAGTCACCATTTATCCAAATTAATTCAAAGTATTAAAAACATGCTAAATTATTGATTCTACTTGTTTTTATTAATATTTGCATAATATTGAAGTTATATGTTGAGTGTTTGAATCCGATGATTATTTTTAATTAAAAATTAACTCGTACAAGAATTTGTAAATTTTTTGCGATTTACATTTTTTTTTTTTAATAATAGTTTGTTAGATTTATATGTGAGGAAGTCCATTAGAATTTAAATAATTGATTAAACTCTTATATGTCAATTTAAAATTTTGAAATAATTATTTATTTATAAACCCAACATATAGTTATGTCTACACTGATACCTATATATTAATTGAGATAAATTAACAAAAAGTAAAGTATACACAAACACATACATGATTTATACATTGCATATATATTACAAAAAAAGCAAAAAAATACATAACAAGAATATATAAGCTATATATTATTGTATATCATATAAAACTTTATTTTATATAGTGTTTTTATTTTAAATTAATTTAATTATTTTATATAGTATTTTAAGTTTTTAAAATTTTTTACTTCAAAATTTTAAAAAGATTATGCATATAATATTAGGGGTATAAAAAAAAAAAAAAAAACATGACGGGTATACCCTAATTGAAAATTATTCCATTTATCATTTAATTATATTTAAATACAGTATCTAATTCAAATACAAAGTTGACTAACTGAAAGAGGGGTATACATACATATATATTTTTACACACACAGGTAATCTATATGAAACACGTAATATATGTTACATGTTTCATAAATTATACAGATCGTTGGTAATTTAAGTGTGTTTGAGTTTTGTTGACAGCTTCCCGTGAAAATGCATGCATGCATCCAATTTTTTTAACAGCAATAATTGATTATTTTCTATTAAAATATAAGTTTGAGTTTTAAATAGATTATATTATAATTAGTGTACAAATTTTATGATTAAAAATTAAAAAAAAAAAAAAAAACCCTAAGAATTGGTAAGAATCAAGTATAAGAATAGTACGTCCACATGCACATTTGGGTATCCTCGTATGTGTATTAAATAAAATAATAAATTAATTGTTTAGTTATGTAGTAACATTAACTTTTTGAAAAATACAGAAGTTATAAGAAATTAAAAATGTTCATGCCACAAATCTCCAAATAGAACATCACGTGACATGTTCTTGGTAATCAACTCCCCTGGTCGGTTCATGCATGATCTTTCCTATGAAGCAATAGTTGATAAGATTTCTAATTACTTAATTATATTTACATATACATATACATATATTTATGTATATAAATAGACATACACGTATATATATATATATACATATATACCGGATTAATAACTAAAAAAAAGCATTTTTAAAAATAAAATAAATAGAGTGGCATTCCTCGTAAATTACATGTAAAGCAAGAGGATATATTAGTGAATCACCCTGAAGAAAATTCCAAGTTAGTGGCGCATGAATCACGTGGTTTAATTGATGATTTGCATGAGTTGGTAGGTAAGTTGAAGTAAGTAGACTTGCAAAAGCTTATGTTACATGCATAACTAACTACACAATATTGTGCTCTTGTTATGAAGTACACGATCTGCTTTTCCGTCCAATTGTAATTAAAATTTTTAAGTTGATAAAAAATTATTTCATTGATGATTTAATCTATCTTTAGAATGAATAAGAAAGTTAAATAGAATTTATTTGGGTATTAATATTTGATTTAGTTAAGACTGATTAATTTGGTTTAAAATTCAATTTTATAGAATTTTATGAATTATAAATGTAAATAAAATGTGAGTAATATAGAAATTTTGAATAGAAATAACATTTTAATTTTAAGTATGTCAAATGCTAACTCAAGTTACAGTTTCTATGACTCTTAAATGATAAACGATAATAAAAATTCATTAATATTTTGATTTTGAAATGTGAATAAGATTGGTTTCAATCGTGTATTGAAAATATAAACTATCACTCTTTTTTCTACATAATAAATATATAAAATGTAGAAAATGGATGATTTTACTTAAACTAAATTCAACATAAGAATAATTAGATATAATATAATGACCTTCTCTGTTGAAAAAGGAGCGCTACTTCACATACATAACCTGATAAATTTATGCAACAATAAACGAAAATTTAAGATTCAATAATCCTCTATACGGAATTACAAGTCATGAGACTTACAAAATTCTTTACATTACATTATTATAATATAATTAAACTGACTTTAAAAGACAAACTCTCACTGTCACTAAAAGTTCTTCAAAGTCTTCATTCGACCAACTTACTTTCGATC